GCTCTGGACTTGTGCCTAACGGAGAAATATCCTGTGTGCACATAAATATACCCAGAGTTGGAGGGAGGCATTTGTTTTTATAGATGGTACCTATCTTCAGCTTGCTGGCTATCCCACCAGCTCTGTCTTAGCAGTGTGTACGCGTGTGCTATGCGTGTATGCCTGCCTCAACCTTTGAAGAGGCTACAAAGTATCTGATTAAATGAATATACTGTATTTAGTTAGTCCCTTGCAGGTAGACATTTAGATTGTTTACAGTTATTTTTGCTGTTGCAGACAGTGCTTCACATTTTTGTGCACAAGTATGAGTCTGCCTGTAGGAAATTCCTAGAAAAGGTCTTGCTTGTCTGAGCATGCCTATTTCACATTATGATGGGCACTGCCAAATTGTCCCATGAAGCTCAAGCCACATCAACAATGTAGAAAGTTTTTGTTCCATGATCAAATAATGAATCTTGAGAACTGTGTTCCTTACAGAGGTAGAATATTCTAGCAATTTTCCATCGAGTGCATTTCCTTTCTTTCATGAAACCTTTTTAGCAGGTCCCCTGGAGCACTCACAAACAAAAGAAGAAAACCAGGACCCCCTTTTTTTTTTTAAGAGAGGAAGGGAGGGGGAGAGAGAGAGAATCATAGATGAGTGAGAACATCAATTGGCCACTGGGAATTTGGCCCACAACTTGGGCATGTGCCCTGACCAGGAATCGAACTAGCGACCTCTTGGTGCGAGTCGATGCTCAACCACTGAGCCACACCAACTGGGCAGGACCCTGTCTTTTTTTCTTCATTGATTTTAGAGAGATAGAAACATCGATGAGAGAGAATATCGACTGGCCACCTCCTGCATGCCCCGCACTGGGGATTGGGGCCCACAACCTGGGCATGTGCCCTGACTGGGAATCAAACCAATGACCTCTTGGTGCATGGGTCGACGCTCAACCACTGAGCCACACCAGCCAGGCCCTGAAGGGTAATTAAAAAGCCCAAAGGAAGATTTTTTATAAAAAATAGGGTCCTGCCCAGCTGGTGTGGCTCAGTGGTTGAGCATCAACCCATGCACCAAGAGGTCATTGGTTTGATTCCCAGTCAGGGCACATGCCCAGGTTGTGGGCCCCGATCCCCAGTGCGGGGCATGCAGGAGGTGGCCAGTCGATGTTCTCTCTCGCTGATGTTTCTATCTCTCTCACCCTCTTCCCTTCCTCTCTGTCTAAAAATCAATAAAGAAAAAAAAAATTTAATGACCCTTCAGGGGTCTCTATGTTCACTGGATTGAGACTTTTTTTTACTGCGTTCCAGTGAAATTTCCAGTTGAACATCAGTAGTCAGAATTCAGTGTCTTTTTTCTTTCTAAGCAGTTAGTCATAGAATGCATGTTTTTAAATTAGACTTCATAGTGTCAAGAGTAATGTTAAGATTTAATCTATGGCCCAGCTGGTTGGCTCAGTGGTTGAGCATTGACCCATGCATCAAGAGGTTACCAGTTCGATTCCCTGTCAGGGCACATGCCCAGGTTGTAGACCAAATCCCCAGTGTGGGGCATGTAGGAGGCGGCCAGTTCATGTTCTCTCTTATCAATGTTTCTCTCTCTCTCCCTCTCCTTTCCTTTCTCTCTAAAATAAATAAAGAAAAATAAAATAAAAAGATTTAATCTATATAATAATCAGAATCCTATTAATAAGCTGCCCACCTTCTTAACCATTTATATGTTGTTATTAATAGGTATCAGAGGAATTTTATCAATACTGATAAGCCACAAAACATCCCAGCAGATGAATATATTGCTGTATCAGAACCTCCAAAGTGTGATATCAAATATTTTTAAAGATTTAGTGATTTTGGCAATGCTGTGTGCCCATATCCCCAAGGACTTTTGTATGTAAGAAATTCTGTCTTTGAATTGTGTGACAGATAAACCATTGAGCATGAATGCAGGACACGCAGATGAATTTGGGATCCGTGCAGTCAACAGATATTTAGTGTGTAGCTGCTGATGGGAGACTGTGCTAGGTTCTGAAGATAGACCTTTTATAATTCTATATGGAAATCCTGTTTCTGTTTGCTTTTTACTTGTTATGTTTACTGGGTGATTTTTTTTTTCTCTGAGGAAACGCCTTAATGACAACAAGCTGTTCATTTTATATTAACATGAGGGCAGTATCCATTCATTCAACAAACATTTGAGCACCAATTCTGTTGAATCCCCTGCCCTCCCTGTTCTGTGTTTGGTGAGGGAGGTCTGACACCAGACTGGGTGGGAGATCTTCAGGTGGGAGATCAGGGGGACTTGTAAGAGGAAAGTTCACTTGAGCCGGAGAGGTGCAGGATGTAGAAGAATGACTGGTGTAGGGGCCCCAAGATAGAACTTGGCGTGTTTGACGAGTATGGAGGCCAGAGGGCCTGGATGGGGAGGCAGAAGAATAAAAGGAGAGGAAGGCAGAGGTGCACAGGGCCAGTCTGGGAACTTGGGCTTCTTTCTCAGGTCACTAGGAAGACATTGGAAGGGTTAAGCCTACAGGAACTGTTTCTGGATTTAAAAGGTTAATCAGCACTGGCCAGTTTGGCTCAGCGGTTGGAGTGTCGGCCTGTGGACCGAGAGTCCAGGTTCAGTTCCCGCTAAGGGCGTGTACCTTGGTTGCCTTTGTCCCCAGCCCTGGTTGGGGTTGTGTGGGTGACAACCACTCAGTGTGTCTCTCTCACATCAATGTTTCTCTCTCTCTTTCTCTCTCTCCCCCTCCCTCCCTCCCTCCCTCCCTCTCTGTCTGAAGATAAATGCAAAAATGTCCTCAGGTAGGGATGGAAAAAAAAGGTTAATCAGGCTGCTGTGTGGAGAACAGATTGTAGGGAGTTAGAGAGAAAACACTTTGGAGAGTCAGGTGAAGTACAGTGGTGGAGGAAAGTGGATGGGTGTGAGACTTTTTGATGATTGGAAGGTAGGGGTTATGGGAAAAGGGACTTGTGGCTGGCTGCTAGGGTTTTGTCTTCACTAACTGCCAGATGGTGGAGCAGGGTTGAGGGTGGGTGAACATCCAGATTTGAGTTTTGGTTTTGTTATAGTTGAGGGTCTCTGTTAAATGGATGTAAACTTTCTGTGGATATATTATGAATGCCTTCAGAATCTTAAAATATGTTCCAGTTTTTTTAGTTAGAGACAAGCCACTGTTTAGACACTATTTTCAGGGGTTTAAGTCACATCCTTTGTAATTTATTTCCCCAAGGACACTAGATGTCGCTGTTTACACGGAAGCTGTTGTTTTTACAGCCGGCACTGAAGAAGGGGCAAGGTTATGTGCCTAAGAGAAGAACCATAGGAGGATGGCCCCTGCCTTCAAGGGTGCTGTCTGATGGGGAGACGTCACCACAGTGTGGTCTTCAGACACAAGTGACAGCAATGCGATTTCATGTAGGACAGAAAGCTGTGGATTCGCCTTCTGTCCTGTATGCTATTTGAACTGGGAAGTGTTTGATTAGGTGATGTTTGAACAGGGTATTAAAAAGGGCTGTGTGGTAGTTCAGGTGGAAACATGGTACGGTAGGCAGAAGGAACAGCCTGGAAATGGCAGCACATTGGTAGACATTTCAGTGAAAAGTTCATTGACGTGGGGGTTTAGACTTTTCCAGTGTTTCTTAACAAAGGCATGGCTGGTGTTTGAAGAAGGAATATTTTTTTATGCAGTCCTGTTGTCCTGGGTTCCCATCCCCCACCTCACACACTAACTGCTAGTAATCTCTTGGGTTATTATAAAGGCAGCAAGGGAGAGTTGGTACCTAGTGGTTGAGATCTCTTGCACAGTGCACAGGCCCAGAGTGGTGATGAAGTGGGAAAGCTACTCTCATATCTGTACCCATCTGTACCCCCACTCCTACCTTCTGCGTAATTTTGAAGTTCTGTAAAGAGATGCCTGTTTGGCTCAGCAGTTAGAGTGTCGGCCTGTGGTCCAGAGAGACCCAGGTTTGGTTCCCACTAAGGGCACGAATCACGGTTGCAGTTTGTCCCCGGCCCTGGTTGGGTCGTGCGGGTGGCAGCCACTCTGTGTCCCTTTCACGTCAATGTTTCTCTCTCTCTCTCTTCCTCTCTGTCCCTCCCACTCTGTCTGAACAAAAAATGGAAAAATGTCCTCGGGTGAGGATAAAAAAAAGAGAGAGAGATGCCTGTTCTGTGCTTTGGACATCATGACATTTAATGCACTGGCTATGATCCTGGCATGGATAGACATTTAGTGTGACTTCCCAGAATATAGAATGCCTCTTACACACCATCCCCAGAGCATTGGGCAGCTCTGCAAGGTAGAGAAATTAACTTAAAACTTTAGTGCCTGGCCAGAGCATGGCTCAGTTTGTTGAGCATCGTCCTCTGTACTGGTTGCCAGTTTTATTCTCAGTCAGGGCACATACTTAGGTTTTGGGTTCAATCCCCAGTCAGGGCATGTACTGAAGACAACCAATCAATGTTTCTCTCTCTCTCTTTCTTCCTCACCCCCCTTCTCTCAGCATGTCCTCGGGTGGGAATTAAAAAAAAACAACTTTAGTACCCTGGCCAGTTTGGCTCAGCAATTAGAGCAACAGCCTGCGGTCCAGAGAGACCCGAGTTCGGTTCCCACTAAGGGTGCGTACCTTGGTTGCAGTTTGTCCCCGACCCTGGTTGGTCGTGTGGGTGGCAGCCACTCGATGTGTCCCTTTCACGTTGATGTTTCTCTCTCTCTCTCCCTCTCTCTCCTTCCCACTCTATCTGAACAAAAAAAATGGAAAAATGTTCTCGGGTGAGGATAAAAAAATAAAAAATAAACTTTAGTGATGCTAACTTTTCTGTCTTCATTTTTATTCCCCCAAGGCCAGAATTCACAGACACTAGTGTAGGGACTAGTCACCGCTGACTTATCAAACAGCAGGTAGGCTCTTTGTAACGGAAGCAGACACACCCGTTCTACAGTCAGGGGCTTTCAGAGGTCTGCCTTTTTGAACTCTCTGTAATTGCCTAACATCTCTGTACCCTTCTTTTCCAGACAATTTATGAAAACCGAATATACAGCCTTAAAATAGAATGTGGACCTAAATACCCAGAAGCACCCCCCTTTGTAAGATTTGTAACAAAAATTAATATGAATGGAGTTAATAGTTCTAATGGAGTGGTAAGTTGTTTTTTTCTTCCCCTACTTGTTCCTCGAGCTAGAGAAACACTTTGTACTTTTGGGCCTGATCCCACGTGGTCCTTGGTTATTTGATGATAAAATATATGGCAATAAAAACATGCAGATTTGGTGTGGGGGCCTGTTTCCCAATTGTATTTGACCATTACTCACAGCAGCTTCTGAAATATGCGCTCACTCAGTCTTTATGATATACCTGTATGAGGTAGAAATGAGGACACGGAGGCACAGAGGTGAAAGAGCTTGTCCAGGGTCTCATTTTTACCTTGTGGGCCTGATTTGGGGACCACTGGTATATAATTTTTAAAATTTATTTAATGGGCTTGCTTTTTTAAACTTATTTTTATTACCATAAATGGAAACCAGTCTTACTTGTCATAAGGCAATAATGACAACAAGAATTACTACAAAAACAAAGCAAAGCTAATAAATTCTTCCTCCTCGTGTTGCTTGCCAAGGCCTCCGAGCCTTTGAGGCCTGCTCTCTTGTTCAGAGGGGAGATCAGCAGGTGTCCGAGGGTGTTGCACATGTTTGCTAAGCCTGTATTTTGAGGTATTCCGAAGATTTGGGGAAAATATTGAAAAGAGATAAGCTTTGTTACTGTGTTCAGTGTTAAATGTTATATCCAAGTTCCACCTAAAGTCCAGAATCCAGAACTTGACCCACACTTTGGGACATTTCTTTCATGGAATGCCGTGTTAACTTGACAGAGTATGACTCTGAGGCGGGCCCTTGTCACTGGAGTTTGGGTCCAGGCCACCCATTGCCTTTGCTCTTCCAACTGCCCTGCTCATCTTTATCATCCGACACCTGGGTGGAGAGTCAAGCAAGGATCAAGCCAGAGCAGCAGCCCACCCAGAAACAAGTCATTGTTTTAGCGCTGATTAGGTTAACTCTTACAGAGCATCGAGTGTTTGGCCATTTCTCTGAAGGTGGCTTTACTTAGCCATAATTTTCTTCTCCCAGACAGTGAGAGTTTAGGACATAAAAAGGGGAAACAGACTGGCGGGAGGGATCTTGCAGGTATTCTGCATGTCCAGTACTGTGTGATCAGCATGTTCAACTTGAAAAGTGCGTCAAGTTTGTACTGGAGCGTAACTCCATTGTACGGTTATTTTGTTTGAGAGCCAGACAGTAATTTGTTTTTGTTTGCCTTTTTATAGGTGGACCCAAGAGCCATATCAGTGCTAGCAAAATGGCAGAATTCATATAGTATCAAAGTTGTCCTGCAGGAGCTTCGGCGCCTAATGATGTCTAAAGAAAATATGAAACTCCCTCAGCCACCTGAAGGACAGTGTTACAGCAATTAATCAAAAAGAAAACCACAGGCCCACCCCTCCCCCATTCGATTTAAGCAGTCTTCATTTTCCACAGTAGTAAATTTTCTAGATACGTCTTGTAGACCTCAAAGTACTGGAAAGGAAGCTCCCATTCAAAGGCAATTTATCTTAAGATACTGTAAATGATACTAATTTTTTGTCCATTTGAAATATATAAGTTGTGCTATAACAAATCATCCTGTCGAGTGTAACCACTGTCCACATAGTTGAACTTCTGGGATCAAGAAAGTATATTTAAATTGATTCCCATCATAACTGGTGGGTCACATCTAACTCAACTGTGAAAAGACATCACACAATCACCTTGCTGCTGATTACATGGCCTGGGGGCTCTGCCTTCTCCCTCCCTCCCCACCCACCCCCACCTCCTTGCAACAGCCCTCCAGTTTGGGGTGGCTTGTTAGAGTAGATGTGAAGGTTTCAGGTCACAGCCTGTGGGACTACTGCTGGGTGTGTGGGGGTGCTTCGTTTGCACCCGATTTCTTTTTTTAAGTCTTAAATGATGCCCCCCCTTCCAAGCCATCATCCTTTCCCCACTCTCTATTACCACCCTTGGCCGAAGCATAGATTGTAACCCCCTCTGCTCCCCTCCGAAATTGGCCTTTGGTGAGGAATTCAGGGCTTTCCCCATATCTTCTCCCCCCACCTTTATATCGAGGGGTGCTGCTTTTCCTTCCTCCTCCTCAAGTCCTTTCTTGCACCATCACCACCCAATACTTTCCATGACACTCCCTTGCTTTGGCCAGAAGCCATCAGGTAAGGTTAGAAAGAATCTCTGACCTCCCTCATTTAGTTTTGGAACCACATTCATTTAGTATCCACCAGCCTAGGAAATGAATATTGGGTCCTCAGCCCTGCCACCCTCTGCTGTCATCATCAGCTGATGCGTGTTTTGTTTTGTTTTGTTTTTTTTTAGCTCAGGAAGGCCACAGAAGACACTTGTAAGCACACATGATCCCTTTGAATGAATTTTTTTTCTATTCCCATCATTGCTTTTGCTTTTACAAATTGAACAGGGCCCAGGTTTTAAACAGGGCTCTTATTTGGTCATCTTTGCAATCCATTTGGGTCTAGTTTGGAATCTGACAACTGGAACAAAAAGAACCTTGAATTCGGTGCGTACTTTGGTTTTGGTGCTGCAGCTTCTCACGGTCCTCAGCAGGGATTAAGAAAGAACTCGGTGTGCACGGCAGAACCCCGAAATTGGCGGGCTTGACTTCCTGGCAAATTGCTGCGTTTTTCCACTTTTCTGTTCAGGACCACTAATTGCTGAGATGTGGATGCATACTGAAATAAAAGCGATTCATTGTGTTCTAAAGGATTTTTTTTTTTTTGTAATTTAGTGTTTGTGTAAAACCACCTTTTGAAGCAGCAACTATCAAGTCTGAAAAGCAATTGATGTTTCCATTAATCTTTTTCTGGGGAAAACCTTAGTTGTAAGGATTTAACATCCTGTAAGTAAAGTTTAACATAACAGTATTCCTCCATAAGCAGCCTTTTTATTGTCAGACCATTGCCTGATTTTAATATAATAAAAAAAAGTGTGCATTAATATTTAAGAAGCTCTGCTCTTCTTGCTCTTGGCAGATAACTTAGCAACAGCACTCAACGTTGTAGATGCTTTGGGCTTCCATTTGACGTCCTATGCTGGGGTTGGCCAGCTTTTTGCAAAGGGCCTTAGTTAGTAAATAGGTTTTGTGGGCCAAGAGGCAAAATTGAAGATGATATATAAGTATTTATATAATGAGAGAAAACGAATTCCCACATTTTTTGTTGTTAATCCTCACCTGAGGATATTTTTCCATTGATTTTTTAGACAGTGGAAGGAGGCAGGGAGAGAGAAACATTGATATGAGAGACATCTATTGGTTGCCTCCCACATGACCCCAACTGTGGCTGGGGATCGAACCTGCAACCCAGGTAAGTGTCCTTGACCAGAAATTGAACCCAAGACCCTTGGGTCTGAGGGCCAATGCTCCAACTGCTGAGTCAAACTGGCCAGGGCCCCACATATTTTTTTATTGATGAAATTCAAAGTAAAATAATTGAGTACAAATTTTTTGTAATGTTACAGGCCTACTAGTGAGAAAATGGGAATTCTTATTTTAGGGGAGAACATTTTGCTTAGTTGGAATACGAAGTTAGTATTCCCTATTATCAAATCAATTGCAAATGTTCATCTGTAAAACTCATTCTTCAGCTCAGCAGTTAGAGTGTCGGCCTGCAGACTAAGGTTGCAGGTTCCATTTCGGTCAAGGGCACATACCTTGCCTGCAGTTTGGTCCCCAAACAGGTTCATGTGGGAGGCAACCGATAAATGTGTCTCTCTCACATCAGTGTTTCTCTCTCTCTCCTTCCCACTCTGTCTGAAGTAAATGGAAAAATATCCTTGGGTGAGGGAAAAAACAATTCAGCCAGGCTGGTGTGGCTCAGTGGTTGAGCAATGACGCATGCATCAAGAGGTGGCCAGTTTGATTCCCGGTCAGGGCATATGCCCAAGTTGTGGGCCAAATCCACAATGGGGGGGGGGGGGGGCATGCAGGAGGTGGCCAGTTGATGTTCTCATTGATGTTTCTTCCTCTCCCTCTCTCTAGAATCAAAGAAGAAAAAAATGCATTCTTTATTTAAGGGGTCATACTGAAACAGGCACAGGTTTGTCCTGTAGACCACAGTTTGCCAGCCCCTGACCTAAAAGATTGTAGTAAACAAAAGGGATGACATCCTTTGATTTAAGTAGCTTTGTTGGACTATTAAATCTCCACTAGAAGCTATTTATTGGCTAGATTTAGTATACTGGAAGGATGGGGAGGATTTTTCACACGTATTTCTGGTCTATGAAAAGAGACTTGATCTGATGATTGACAATTTGTCCACCATTCACTTGTGAGGGGTGGAAACATCTGTGGCTGCTTTTACCCAGCATTTGAACTTCCTGCTGTGGTCCCAACCGCCAACAGGCACGCCCTTGGTGTCCTGTGGCAGGAGCCAGGCCATTCCCTTGTGGCTGTTGGGGCCAGCTCGGATGTCAGAACCTGGCTGTCTGGGAAGAGCCAGCTTGTTCCTCACAGGCCACCCTCCAGAAAGCACTGCCCAAATTTCTGCCATCGGCCCTCTGAGCTCTGGAGTGAATTGCTGCCTTTCAGCTCTGGGCCAGGGACATTTGTGGGTTCTTTACCCTCAGTCAACTCCAAAGGGAGAAAGGACAGAGAGGTTCTAAAATTATTTCAAAATGTTACTGGAAAACCTCAAAGCAAAACCTAAGGATGGCAGCTCTTCTGTGCTGAGTGACCTCCGGAGGAGACAGTCCTGTCCGAAACCCTAGCGTGCCCCTCTACCTAAGTGGGTCTCGGGGAACTGGGCTGGGCGCTTCAGAAACAACTAGAACTTCCTTGAAACACTGCTGGCGTCTGCGAGCTGTGGTTATTGTGTCCCACAGCTGTGTCACTTGCTCTTTACTGTTGCTGGTGGGTTCACAGGTGGTGAAGGTTATGGCTGGAGTTTAGGCCTAAACTTAGGGCCAAGAAGCGGCAGCTGGCCTCCCTGGGTCATACTCCAGTTCCCAGCTCCTGCCAGGTCCTCTGCTTCTGAGAGAAGATACTTCCAGGTTATGTAGAACTTCGAGGATGCAGGGAGGTCTCCATAGTGACCTGATGAAGTTGGCGGTAAAGCTCCCCCTCTGACTGGCCAACAGCAAACCAGCGATGGGTCCCCCTTGACTCGTGACCTCTGACCCGAATCTTGGGGTGAGGGCAGATCCCTTGAGCTGTGGTGTCTGCAGAAAAGGCGCCTGGGCCTGCCCTGGCCGGTTTGGCTCGGGATAGAGCGTTGGCCCGCTGACCATTGAGTCGCAGGTTCAGTTCCGGCCAAGGACACGTACCTCGGTTGTGGTTTGTCCCCGGCCCTGGTCGGAGTCGTGCGGGACGCAACCAGTCGATGTGTCCCTCTCATGTTAATGTTTCTCTCCCTTTCTCTGCTCCCTCCCTCCCACTCTATCTGAAGATAAATGGAAAAATGTCCTCGGGTGAGGATTAGGAGAAAAAGCTGCTGGGCCCTGTGGGTAGGGCCACTGCCACACCGCTGCCCTAGTTGTGACGTAGCGATGTGAACGGTGTGGACCCAGCCTCGTGTCAGGTCCTCCGGCGGCCGGCGGGTCTCTGGCCCCTCGCCCTTTTGCCCTCCACGCCTGGGAATGAGTGGACACTCGGTCATGTTCCCTTTCTCTGTGTGCCTGTTCCCTGCTATCCCCCCGTCGCAGAACCCCGTGGAAGGACTCGGGGCGTGGCATTAGGGGTTTTCTCGTCCTCGGCAGAGGAGGTTCCGAGGAGGGCAGCTTGCGCAGTTCTGAGCTCAGAGAGGCCACGGGCCACCTCAAAGGCTTCGTGAGCATTACGCGTGGCCACCTGTTTAGTCAGCTGCTGTGCATTGGCTGCGGTGACCCTGGAAGAAGGAAGACGTCAGTGCTCGGGGCAGCCTCACCGATGCCGCTGGTCCTGTCACCTGGAACGAGACGGCACGGCCACATCGTCAGGGTTCTGCACGGGTCTAACTGATGGCAGGTGAGGTGAAGGTGCTACTCAGTGCCAGGAACATGGGTTCAACCAAGGACCGATCTTTCCAAGAGAAGCCATGAATGTAGATTTTTATGTGAAATTCCCCAGTGTTTGTGTCAATAATAAAGAGCAAGTCACACAACTGTGGGACACAAACTTCATTCCCTCTGTAGAGCAAAGTACTATCACAGCTTGGAGGCCACTGTTGAGACCATCATGGTGGACTTGAACCTCTGGGACGTCTGTGGTCCTGGGAGCTCTGCATAGGGACATGCTGGGGTCCCTGGAGCGTGGTGGGAGGTGCCACGGGAAACAGACCCGCATTTCAGGGAGTCTGCAGTGCTGTCCACTGTGAGATAGATGCCCCTGTATGTACCACCAAGAAAAAATGCAGCCAGTTACAAGTGTAAGACACGTGAATATAAGGACTTCCAATTCCGGGTTAAGATGTGTGTCCCCTTGAGAGTTGGTGGGACGCAGGTGTATTTGTCGGTGGTGATCAGGACAGAGGTGGAGGCCACCCGTGGTGAAGGACAGACCACATCAGATGAGTCTGCCCCTTACACTTCGATAGCAAATCTGAGCTGCAGAGCCCATTTTCATGTTTACTAGACAGAGAATAC